TAGTCCTTTTCCCTTGATCTGGAGAACCCTCTAGTCCTGAGTTCTTTTCATTTCCTTCATGCCTCCAGACCCAAGGCAAAGCCTGGGATTCAGTTCCACTGTAATTCCTTGACCCTCAAGTCCTCCTCACAGTGAGGAGGCACTCCTTCTTATCAGAGTGGAGGGGTTTTCTGTTGTCATTTCTGGCCATATGGTCCCAGGACATTTCAGACATTTGGAAATGTGGAATGTTGTATCCAGGGGCTGCAAACTGGAATTTTGTTTCTTGCCTCACCCTGCTGTATGTTTTCAAACATAGGCATTGTACCAGAAAAGGAGGGGTTTCAAGGTTTCTGTTGAAACCTGTTTACTATCCTAAAACAAAAGAGGCAACCCTATACTGGATCTCAAATTTTTGGTACAGAAATTCTGTATGGAATCCACTTGGTCAGTCATTGCTTTCATCTATGCGGGAGATCTTTTCTTATCTGTGGACATCAAAGCACATGTCCTGGCACACCAGTGCTACCTACGTTTTGCTCTGGGCATACAACATTACCAATTTATTGTCCCTCTCTTTGACCTGGCAACTTCACTTCAGGTGTTCACCACGATGCTGATCCGTGTTCTTGCTCTGCTTTGCTCCCTGGGCATAACGAAATACCTAGATGTCCATCTTCAGAGGAAAAGGAAGATTCAGATTCTGTCAGTCAATCTCCAACAGAGATAGCGCTGTAATAACTTTGCATTGACAACTTTTACAGCCACAAGTAGCTACTGTCTGCAGTCTTACAGAAGCCACCTTCCATTGCCTGCTAAATGTGCTGGGAATCCTAAACATTGCAGAAGTTTCCTGAAACAATGTCAACTTAATTTTCAGCTGGAGCCTGTCCAGTTTGATTCACAGCACAGGGCAGGCTTTAGAATTTCTTCACTCCTTGATGAGGTCCTGGCATGGGTTTCCCCATGCTTGAAGCAAGACCATTCTATGCTGGGAAATCTGGACAATTTTCTATTTTTGATTATCCCAATCGCAGTACAACCGCTGAAGCCATATTTCTAAAAAAAAACACTCTGTACATGAATATTCTGTCGATTTTCATCACTGGGTGTCAGATACTACTTGGACGACAGTGCTTAGTGTTTTCACTTTAGAAAGGGGGCTCTCTGGACAAATTAAAGATGAGCTAGCCTGAGTGGATACACCATGCAATCTTGATGCTTTTATCATACTAGCATTAAAATCAACAGACGATTAACTAGAAGATGATTAAAAAGACAAAGATCACTGAGGACAAATTTCCTCCAAGTCTCAACCCGTAGCTAAACTATTTTCCAGTTCTGAGCCAGAACCTAAGCCAATGTAGATTGAAGCAATTGGGGGATCTCTCAGTTTTGCCAAAAAGAAATAAAAATGCCAAAAATAAATCTTTCTTTATATTGTGGTCAGTCAGGGAACTTCTTTCTAAGATGTCCACACAAGCCACAAAGAACAATTGCAGCTGCTGCTCAAAGAGAAATGTTTACTTCTAGTGAAAAAGTGGGGTCCATTTTACAGACCTTGTTTTCCTTAGCATAATGAGAGAGCAAGATTGTCACTCATCATCCACATTTTGTTATAGGCATTATGCTTAAAGAAAAACGACCAGTTAATTCTCCATCACAGTGATTGCTGGACTTTGGGGCTGGTGGTAATTTCATGGATTTGAAGTATGCTGAGAACAATTGTATCACCAGATACTTAAGCAATATCCAGTACACTTGGAGACAGTAGATGGATCACACTCTCTTCTGGCATAATTACTCATGAGACTGTTCCTCTACAATTAATTATTGAACCAGGAAACCAAGAAATAATATCTCTCAACCTGATCTCCTCTTTCAATTTCCTGTTATTTTGGGAATTCCATGGCTCTCAGTTCATAACACCAATATTGATTTGCAGGCCAGGAATCTTAACTTTTCATCAGATTGCTGCCAAGTACATTGTTATTGGAGCATCCAGTAATCTTAAAATATTGCCTCTCCATTACCTTGATTTTAAGGATTTATGTGATAAGAAAAATGCGGTCAAATTACCACTATATTGAGTTTATGAATGCCCAGTAGAACATTTGCCAGGGGTTCCAATCCCATATCGTATCTACTCTCTTTTAGAACCAGAACTGAAAGTTTTAAGGGACTTTCTAGAAGGAAGTGTGACTGAGTGCGGTGGTGTTATGAGCAGATGTCTCTCTGTTATATTGTGAGTATTTTTCTGCAATTTTAAATAAATCTTTTCCAGCGGTATTACACTATCTGCAGCTTCTCTTTGCCTTTTTATATATGTGGCACTTCCTTTGGATCCAGGATCCCCAAGTTCGTCTTTTAAGTAGATAAGTGGTTTTGCTGAACCAGTGTGCTGGATGGTATAAAATATTAGCGCTGCTGGCCTCCTATGATATAGAGGTCTTTTTGTCTGGCATGTACACTTGGTGGTGTGGTGAAGATGAGTTGATTGATTTCACACTGAAGTACACTTCTTACGCAGCACGTGTATGTTTGCCTTTCACACTGATACATTTTGTTGGACTTTATTTTAGTTGTTTTAGTTGAATAGCTTATATTTTGTTTTATTCTTAATGTAATAGCCCACCAATTTTCAATTACTCAATTTCATTTAAATTTGTTTTTGGCCATTATTTGAGTGGTTTGAGTGCTGCTATTCTTATCTATAAAATCTTTGCATCCAAGCACAAAAGTTTTTTTCTTTAGTAGGATTTCCTTGATGCTCCGTGCAACTCAGCGACTGTCTTGCCTGTACAGAGAGTGCCTGCAGGAACCTTACATTGCACCTGCAATAAATGCTTTGCAGGCTCTTGAGAAAAAAAATTATAAATGCACATTTATTTAATTGAAAAAACATGTGCATGTTTTATTTTTTTACACAAAGGTCAACTATGTAGTGCAAGTAGGCTCCCACAATACAGAGTTTTTAGTAAATGTAAAATCTGATTATATGTTCAGGCTTTAGCATGTGTGGCCAGCTTTGGCAAGTTTTGTTCTTAAACAAGCAGTGTTCAGAAATGAGTGAAGGATGGAAAAGGATGACAGCCCCAGATAATGTTCTTTTAAAAACAAATCAGCAATTGCAGATTATTTGATTATTTATTTATGGGTTTACCTTTCATGACATGTTACACCCATATTCAGGTTGTACCATGTTACTATAGGACTGAACCCCACAACCCCCCAATGTGGTAGCTAGTGGGGGATCTTCTCCCCCCGTTAGCTGTCACAATTTAAAAAAAAACGGCTGTGCAGGGCTCCAGCCGTCTAGCCGCGTCATTCAGTCACAGAGTTCTGTGAATGGGAATCTACAAGTCCTGACATCCTTTGTGGCTGTTGGCTTGTTACCTAGTTACATAGTTGGTCCGGTTGAAAAAAAAAAGACACACATCCATCAAGTTCAACCAGTAAAGGGAAAAAAAAAATATTATACGATCCTATATACACATTCCTATACCTACATTTGATCCAGAGGAAGGCATAAAAAACCCAATAAAGATTGATCCAATTTCCTCCAGCAGGAGAAAAAATCCTTCCTGATCCCCCAAGAGGCAATTGGACATTATCTGGATCAACTTTACCTATAAATATTAGTATCCAGTTATATTATGTACATTTAGAAAAGAATAGCGGCCTTTTTTAAAACAATCTATTAAGCTGGCCAGAACCATCTCTTGAGGGAGTCTATTCGACATTTTCACCACTTTTACTGTGAAGAAGCCTTTCCATTATTGGAGATGAAATCTCTTTTCCTCTAGATGTAAAGAGCGTGCCCTTGTCCTCTGTGATGACCTCACTATATGGACCACTTGTATATTTATACATCTGAATCATATCCCTCTTTAACCTCCTCTTCTCAAGAGAGAATAAATTCAGTTCCTCTAATCTTTCCTCATTGCTGAGCTCCTCCATGCCTCGTATCAATTTGGTTGCCCTTCTCTGCACTTTCTCCAGTTCCCCAATATTCTTTTTATGAATTGGTGTCCAAAACTGAACTGCATATTCCAGATGAGGTCTTACTAATGATTTGTACAGAAGTAAAATGATATCTCTCTCTCTGGAGTCTATACCTCTCCTAATACAAGAGAAGATTTTGCTCCCTTTGGAAACCGCAGCTTGGCATTGCATGCCATTCTTAGGCTTATGATCTACCAGAACACCCAGATCCTTCTCCACCATTGATTCCCCCAGTTGTAATCCTTCTAGTATATATGATCCATGCATATTCTTAGCCCCCCAAGTGCACAACTTTACATTTATTAACATTAAACCTCATTTGCCACACAGTTGCCCAATTAAACAGTGCATTGAGGCCAGTTTGTAATTTGGAGACTTCCTGTAAGAATGTTAATCCGGCGCTTTTTAGTGCTCTGGTAGTTCATTGATTCTTCCTGTCACTTTAAAACTGCTTGCTCGTATGAGGTATGAACTAACAGGTTACAATGACAGTCTACAGGTGACCTGCATGGTACCAGCGATCTGCTGATCGCTAGTGCAATGCTTTCCAGGTTCCTAAAACAAAATATAGTGTCAGCGGGCAGGTGGGTTGTTCTTTCCAGAGAGACTTTAAACAGAAAACTTTCTGTTTAAAGCTTAGATACTATACATGCTGCATTTATCCCCAATTCCTCACTTTTCCAGTGTTATTTTATCTCTGTATCTTGTTGCACTTTTATCCAAAATACTGATATTATTTGTCATTGCTTTGGAGTACACATTGGCCAATTTTAATGGCTGCGCGGGTTTCATTTGCATACTATTAAAGTATTTATATTTTTTTTCTACCAATTAAAAACCCATCAAAATAAGCTTTAAGGGAAATTTTAATAGTTACTTGCACAAAGATCTTTTAACATTCACATACCAAAATCTTGAAAAATGCTGTAGATTTATTTTACTATTTTAAAGAACTGGTCAATGGGAGTGTTTATTGAAGCTCATGTGGTTTTTTTATGTCTGTCCCTTTTCTTTAGGACCGTAATTTCAGTGTAGAAGTGAACACTACATTTGAAGACTTTGCTCACATTATCAGTTTTGACAAGCGAGCCGCCACACTTGATGCAGGAAACATTAAGCTAACATTTAATAGCGTAAGTGATTCCATGGATCTGCCAAGTGTGAAGAGTGTTAGAGGAGGCAGGATGCAGCGTGTGGACAGGACTCATAACCTTGTTTAATTTGGCCTAGTTGCTGGAGAAAGCCGAAGCTCGGGAGCGTGAGCGAGGAAAGGAGGAAGCTCGCAAGTTTCGAAGGAAGGAAGCTGCATTTAAAAGCATGCTAAAGCAGGCGGCTCCTCCTCTGGAAGCAGACAGCAGCTGGGATGAGGTAAGAGAACAGTCTGTGCTAATGACTCAAAGATTTTGACAGTTGGTGAAGTTAAATCAGATGTTTTACTCTCAGTCTGTCATTAATCTTTTGTAGATTAAACTACAGTGCAACATTATTCGACCAAGGCACCTTCAGCCATTTCCATGGTTTTTTATGATTCTATATATGTTGTACTGGGTACACAAATACACTGCTCAAAAAAATTTAAGGAACACTTTGAAAACACTGCTCTCATTGTGAAAAGCACAGGGCGCCAGTGGCGGATCTGACAATTCTGGTGTTCAATGGCAAATGCCAATCAAGCTCTATAGTGCCAGGCAGTGAGCACAGGGCCACTAGTGGATGTCTGGCCCTCTGGCCACCCTCATGAAGTCTGTTTCTGATTGTTTGGTCAGAGATATTCACACCAGTGGCCTGCTAGAGGTCATTTTGTAGGGCTCTGGCAGTGCTCATCCTGTTCCTCCTTGCACAAAGGAGCAGATACCTGTCCTGCTGATGGGTTAAGGACCTTCTATGGCCCTGTCCAGCTCTCCTAGAGTAACTGCCTGTCTCCTGGAATCTCCCCCATGCTCCTAAGACTGTGCTGATAGACACAGCAAATGTTCTGGCAATGGTACGTATTGATGTGCCATCCTGGAGGAGTTGGACTGCCTGTGCAACCTCTGTAGGGTCCAGGTATTGCCTCATGCTACCAGTAGTGATACTGACCCTAGCCAAATGCAAAATTAGTGAAAAACAGTCAGAAAAGATGAGTAGGGGAAAAATGTCAGTGTCCTCCACCTGTAAAACCATTCCTATTTTGGGGGTTGTCTCATTGTTGCCCATTTAGTGCACCTGTTGTTAATTTCACTAACGCCAAAGCAGCTGAAACTAATTAACAACCCCCTCTGCTACTTAACTGACCAGATCAATAACCCAGGAGATTAATTGACTTGATGCTGTATTCTGATTGAAAAGTGTTCCTTTCATTTTTTGAGCAGTGTATATCTGAAAGTGCCATAAATAGTCACAAATGAAAAAATGCTGAAAAAAAAGTTTGCAAGATTACCTTATACTAGCTCTTGACAGCTTATACTTTTTTAATACAGGTTTCTTTTTCCTGATTTTGGCTGGTGATGTTGCCAGTATCTTAATCTTTGGAGTTTCCATGCTGAGGATGACAAAACTGCCTTAGTGTTAGTCTATGTAGAAGCAGAGTTTTTATCCTGTTTTCCTGTTGCTGCCTGCTAGCTTACTGCAGGCACACAGTATGCCTCTCTTCACTTCAGACAGCCTCTGGACCACCCAAAGTATCTACGCCGTGTGAAGTAACCCTGTTCAAGCTTTCAAGCTTGTGGAAGTAGAGGTGACCAAAACAATTATTTCAAATCTATAATTGCCTCCCGCCCGGTCTGTTGTCAAATGACCGTCGAGTAGGAGCCCTCCCATCCTGGGTGCACGTCGTATTTTTCATGTGTATTTTTGTAATGATCTCTGCGATTGGTCACAGTGATTACATGGTACAGACATTGCCAATCAGAGTACATATGTAGCATGTGACAGCTGTGGCCAATCTAAGCTAATCACAATAATACTCAATGAATGGTTGCAAATAAATTAATACCATTCATAAAAAGTATTGCTTATAACAGTGATCACTGCTATATGCAATCATAGTGTTAAAAAAAAAAAACAAAACAGAAAATTCTGATCACTTCATTATACTAACACTGCACTGCTCTGGTCACAGTATGTTAAAAAAAAAAGATTTTTTTTTTTTTTTAATGATTTTTTTTTTACATACTGTCACCAGTCATATGATGATGCCGTACTGCTCTGGTGACAGTATTTAAAAAACAAAAAACAAATTGTGAAAATAAAATGTATTTCATTTCTCTATTTGCCTCTTACTAAATACCTTGGATTCTCTACTTTCCAAAAAAGGGTCATTTGGGTTTTTTTTGTACTGTCCTGGTATTATAGGGTCTCAAGAAATATATATATATATATACCATAATTTGTAGACTCTATAACTTTCACACAGACTAAATATTATACACTGATTTGGGTTATAACAAAAAAAAGAAAAATGTGTTTTTTTTTCCCAAGATTTTCTGTACTTTTTCGCTTATATAGCAAAAAAATTAAAAACCCAGTGGTGATTAAATACCACCAACAGAAAGCTCTATCTACCTCAAAAAATTATAAAAATTTCATTAGGGTACAGGATTGCATGACTGAGTAATTGTCATTCAAAGTGTGACAGGGCTGAGAGCTGAAAATTGCCCTGGGCAGAAAGGGGGTAAAAATGGCCATGACTGAAGTGGTTAAAAAGTAAAGTTTAAGAAAAAGAAACAAAAATCACATGAAGCGTTCTGTTCTCATGATTTATTTTGCATGTATTCATTTTTTTATAAGGAAATAATTGTGCTTTCAAGTGAACCTTGGGAGTGGCTGCTTTTTTTTTGCACTGATTAATGGCTTAGATTAAGTAGAATTATCCAAATGTATGTCTTAACTGACTTTAATGGGTGAGCTGGTTGGTTATGGTAGCCAGAGTATAATTCAGCTTTGTAGGATAATTACAGTGGTGGTTTTTTTGCTTTATAAAATTGGTAGTGAAGTCTAATAAAAAGTGGTAAAGTCTATTAATACTCTATTAGTGTTAGTATAGTTTTTCTGTATGCACTGAGCATACAAAGAAATATTAACTTTGTGCATCAATGAAGAAAACCGTCTCCGTGCATTAATAGGAAGGAGACTGACTAACAAACAGTTGCCTCAGTCCTTAGCTTGCATCATTACTGCATAAGACTTGCCTGCACCAATCATCCGACAAATCCTCCAATGCTTGTTACAGATCCTCTCCAAAGTTTCAGGTTGAAATTTTCAAGAGTTGTTACAGTGCCTTGAAAAAGTATTCGTACCCCTTGAAATTTTCCACATTTTGTCATGTTACCACCAAAAATGTAAATGTATTTTAGGATTTTATGTGATAGTGGAAAGAAAATGATAAATGGTTTTCAAAAATATTTTACAAATAAATATCTGAAAACTGTGTATTTGTATTCAGCCCCCTAAGTCAATACTTTGTAGAACTACCTTTTGCTGCAATTACAGCTGCCAATCTTTTGGAGTTATGTCTCTATGTGAAATTTTGCCCATTCTTCTTTGCAAAATAGATCAAGCTCTGTCAGATTGGACGGAGAGCGTCTGTGAACAGTAATTTTCAAGTCTTGCTACAGATTCTCAATTGGATTTAGGTCTGGACTTTGACTGGGCCATTCTAACACATGAATATGCTTTGATCTAAACCATTCCATTGTAGCTCTGGCTGTATGTTTAGGGTCGTGGTCCTGCTGGAAGGTGAACCTCCACCCCAGTATCAAGTCTTTTGCAGACTCTAACAGGCTTTCTTCTAAGATTGCAAACAAACAAAGGATTTCACAGCAGCACTTACCAGCCAGCCTGCAAAACAACCAATTTGGCCCTGTCTAACAATTTGCATTAAAAAACAGAGGGTTTTTGTTTGCACACATTTAGAAATACATGCGTAAGCCACAGTCCTGCAGAAAGGGTCTCTGTATGCTGTGGACCTAACTCTAACATTTCCAGAGCCTCCATAGTAGGAGCACATATATCAATGGATAGGTTAAGGGCAGGTGTACCTTTAAGGAGTCCATTCCTCCTTAAAGGTACAGGGACGTGAAGCCCAGCTATACCAAAATGACAGCAAAGGCATCCAGTGCATTACTGCATCCAAATTAGCCAACTACACAAAAAATGGCAACCATCCTAACCTATAACCAGCCTTAGCAGCAAGGTGCACATGGAAGGGCAATGCACATTGCAAACAAACAAAAGATTTTCCAGCAACACTTACCAGCCAGCCTGCTAAACAACCAATATGGCTCTATCTAAGTTGTACATGGAAGGGTAATGCACATCGTAAACAAACAACAGACTTCCCAGCAACACTTACCAGCCCTGTATTTGGCTCCATCCATCTTCTGATCAACTCTGACCAGCTTCCTTGTCCCTGCTGAAGAAAAGCATCCCCACAACATGATGCTGCCACCACCATGTTTCACGGTGGGGATGGTGTGTTCATGGTGATGTGCAGTGTTAGTTTTCCACCACACAGCGTTTTGCTTTTAGTGCACGACTAATAGTTGTCCTGTGGAAAGATTCTCCCACGTGAACAGTGGATCTCTATGCTCTGTGAGATGTTCAAAGCTTGGGATTTTTTTATAACCTAACCCTGCTTTAAATTTCTCCACAACTTTATCCCTGACCTGTCTGTTGTGTTCCGTGGCCTTCATGATGCTGTTTGTTCACTAATGTTCTCTAACAAACCTCTGAGGGTTTCACAGAACAGCTGTATTTATACTGAGATTAAATTACACACAGGTGGAGTCTATTTAACTAATCAGGTGACTTCTGAAGGCAATTGGTTCCACTAGATCTTAGTTCGAGGTATCAGAGTAAAGGGGGCTGAAAACAAATGCACGCCACACTTTTATTTGTAAAAAGTTTTGAAAACCATTTATGATTTTTCTTCCACTTCACAATTATGTGCCACTTTGTGTTGGTCTATCACATAAAATCCCAATAAAATACATTTACATTTTGGTTGTAACATGACAAAATGTGGAAAATTTCAAAGGGTATGAATACTTTTTCAATGCACTCTATGTTTTTTCTGAGTCAGATTTATTTTTTAAATGATCTTTCCAATGTATTTCTTAAAGTTGAACTCCAGCCCAAAGCTTTTTGTTTTTGTACTGAATGACTTCTATCAAATTGGGGCAGCACAGTGGCTAAATGGTTAGCACTTCCACCTGGCAGTACTAGGGTCATTGGTTCAAATCCCAGCCACGGCACCACCTGCCTGGAGTTTGCATGTTCTCCCTGTGCCTGCGTGAGTTTCCTCCGGGTACTCCGGTTGCCTCCCACACTCCAAAGACATGCTGGTAGGCTAATTGGCTCCTGTCTAAATTGGCCCTAGTATGTATATGTATGAATGTGAGATATGGACCTTAGATTGTATGCCCCTTGAGGGTTAGGGACTGATGTGAATGTACAATATTGATATGTGTAAAGCGCTGTGTAAATTGACGGCACTATACAAGTACCTGTAATAAATAAATAATAATAAATTGTTATTGCTGTCTGTGTCTCTGTTGGGAGCGTCCTTATAATTTCTCCTGTTGACCATTGTCATCAGATCAAATCCAGATAGAGGGAAAATCTTCCAGTTGAGGAACCTGTTCAGATGATAATTGTTAATGGTGGGATTCCCTTGATTTAGGGGAGATTTTTGCTCACTTGTTGTGTCTCTGAGACAGGACATGAAGGAAAACCTCCTCGATGGAGATAGAGACAACAATAAAAAACTGACCTGAAAAAAAATATATATATTTTAGCTGGAGCTCTCTTTATGGATGAATCACTGTGATCAGCTGGAGCAGAGTTACATTATTTAACATGTTTGTGTTTTTATTTCTATGTGGCATTTATGGGTTGGCTCTTAGCTGCATATTTGAGTGTTTCTGGGCCACGTTTGTTATATACGTCTGTGTTTTCACTGACATGCATCTAAAATGCTCTATTCTACTATCTGTACAGGTCCGAGAGCGCTTTGTTGGAGACGGTGCATTCAATCAAATCACAGTGGAATCAGAAAGAATCCGCCTATTTAAGGAGTTTGTTTTATCTATTGAGGTTTGACAGTTCTTTAAACTATGCCCACATCTTTTGTTCATATTCAGAATACATAAAGTACCTAATATCGTTTTTATAAGGAAAAGAGTACAGATAGAAGTGCCCTAACCCATGGCATTCAGCCAGAAATGATCTTTCATTAGTTTGACTACAATTAAAATATCATTGCCTATGCACTGTTAAAAAAAAATAGGACCTTAACTGGGCAAGCTGTGCCCAGAAAAGGCGAGTAAATGGGACTAATCGCTAGCATTGTCTATATATGATCCATGCCACTGATCTTTTTTCTTTACTGACTAAAGCCAGTCATAAATGAGTTGAAAATCGAACTATTACTGTTGATTGTTCGTTTTTTTGCATCATTAGTGTGCCAGCTGCGTCATGCAATATTCGTACCGCAATCGAGAGTGCCTGATCCAGCATGCTGGGGTTTTTGTTTAGAAAAGCAAAACAAATGATGGCACAGTCATTTGAGTGATTTTCCTTTTTTGACCTACAGAACTTCCAGTTTTCAACTCACCTTTGGCCGGCTTAACTGTCTTGTTCTTGTGTTAGCACACTAGTGACATCACCAACGCTCATTCCAAATCTTGTGAGACTAGAAGTCAGGCAGTAGTGCTTTAGATCCGACTTCTGATTTACAGCTATAAGACTCAAAGCACAGGAAGTGCAATGCTATGTTTCAGGAGGAACTCAAGAATAAAGTTTTTTTCAGGGTACTGCTAAGGCAGATTAGCATGTCTTGATGTTCCATGTAAGATAGGTAAACTTCACTTTATGAGTTCAGGTCTATTTTAAATCAAGGCAAATTTTTAAATGTATAGATTCTTCATGATACATGTGAGATAATCTGACATTTCTCTTCTGCTGAGCATACATGCTAGATGTTACAAAATGTCCCAGTGTTTAAGATATTTTGTTTTCCTGATATTTTTGTACACATATTCATATTCTTACACTTGAGCATTAGGTGCTACTTTGTGATCAATATTTTTGTGGACAAGAATTGTGCAATATTTTGCTGCTGAAGTTTTTGGATTGGCTCTCATACATGCAGTGTAAGCCACTTCACAGCTGTATTGAAGGTGTATTTTCCAAGTGCACATACAGCTAGATACAGATCAAATGCATTCATATGAGCTGTCTAAACATGCAAAAAAGAATCTTTGATTCTGTTCAGTCTTTTGGTTTAGGTACCTTTGTTAGACTGCACAGCCAGGTTAGTGACCTCTCTTATATTCAGTGTGGCTATGCAATAAAGCCTATTCACTGTGCCAAGCCTGTTCTGCTGACTGGACATTGTAGGAACATCAACAAGCTGACAAAGTTATCATTCTGCTATCTCTTCACATCAGCAAGCTATCCATACACATGTAATTCTGTTCAGCAGACTTGCTAATAGAATTTTGTATTGATTGTTTGGACAAAAATGTCCATAAACATTCGGTGTCCTCTGCTGAGTGCATATAAATAAAGGAATTTTAACTTACCTGTAAACTCTGTATCTTGGAGTACAGTACAGGACACAGGTTGAATATTCAAAGACTTGGAGTTATGGGCTGCTGTCTTCAGATGTCTGGACCCCACTCTATGACTTTTTTTTTTGCAAGCAATTCACAATAATAAAAATGGGATTTTTAGTTTACCAGTAAAATCCTTTTCTTGGAGTATATCACAGGACACAGGTATCCTACCCCTTTGCCTTTGTGGTTTATGGCTTACTAAAAAAATCAAACCCTTGCCAAAATAGGGAGAGGTTGAGCCTGGGAGACTTCCTGTCTTTTTTTTGCCAGTCTCTAATTACCTGAAGGTTCCAACATACCCATATCATAATGAAAGATACTGTGTCCTATAATGTACTCCAAGAAAATAATTTTACAGGTAAACCAAAAATTAAATTTTTACCACCAATTTGAAAGGTAATTAAACATTTAACAAAGTAATAAAATTAAACACAATCATTCCTTATAGTTTAACGAGTTATATTCAGGAGACACAAAAAAATGTACTGCAAGTAGTGGAGATATTAAAAACCCATACTTGCTATAGGGGCACAGTAATAGTCCAATAACAGGATGAACCTTTCCACATTGCTGGTCTGTTGTATGGGCCCAGGATTCACCCATATTGGGCATACCCCTGGAGGGGTCTTCAGGGTCTGGGAACCATATGAATGGACCATATGAATGGCCCTGAACCTGTATAGGACACTGCGGGGATGTGCCCAAAGCAACATTACAGGCAGTCCTCACATCATGGGGTCCAGGTACAGGTACCAAAGTTTTACCAAAATTGCATGGATTTGGATGCATTGCTTCTATTTTCATAATAAATAATAGTGCAGAGGTTGATTAAAGAAAAAAACCTAAACATAGAAACTTCTCCATAAGGGAGAAGAGGTCCATCATCTACAGGACACTAGTAAAAACTGAGAACCTACAAAGTGGGTTAGGATTATAGGAGTACGCCCAAGGGGGGCATGTCCAAATGTTTCAATCACCTGAAGGTAGCCTATAATCCAGGGTCTATGAATATCTAGCCTTTAAACTGTGTGATTAAGATACACACATAGAGCAATGCGAGATAGGCTTGCAACAAGTCTTCCATGTCTTAGTACAGAGGTATTAAGTGTAGTCAGTTACCTTGTGATAAAAGCAGACAATGCAAAAAAGAGTGTTAATTTGATCAAAAGTGAATGAAAAATCTTGATTTTTATACATCAATTTTAACAGCAGTGCTCTGAAAAGGATAATTTGTACATATGATCTTTCTTAAATAAAACATCAAGCCAGTTTCACCACACCGCTGGTATGCTGCTATTGCAATGCAGCAATGCCTCACTGGCTTGTAGTGCTCGTCCCTACGCCAATCGAAGTGTCACTGTACAGGAAAAGTACTTCTTTAGGCTTTGGATTTTTATATTTTAATTATTTTAGTATGTGTATTTACTAGTAGAGCCTTTTTACTCAACATAATTGTCCTTTTTTTTTTTTTTTTTAAAGAATGAATGTCTGCATCATCACTTCAAAGGCAAGAAGCACTCAAAAAAATCGAAGAAACACCACCGTAAGCGCTCACACTCACGGTCACCAAGTCCTGCAGAACAGATGAAAAAGAAGACTTTGGACCTGTTCAATATGTGGGACAATGCTGGGACTGCGGAGGTGAGAACCTAGTATAGCTATATGCCTTTAAATTATTTAAAGGTGACCTGTCACATAGCTAAATAACTGTTCTTGAAGCAGGTTCAGTGATATTACCCAGTATGCAGCACATGTCCAAGAATGGATGCCCTCTGCGAAGCACCTAAGATGGGGACAGATGGTCATAAACTAGAATATTTTTGTCTGATCTAGATGATTGTAATATTAACAAAATAGAAGTATTAATATGGTTTCCGTAGGTAGTATGGTGTCCTTTTCTTTTTTTATGGTATTATTTGTGCATATTGTAAGGGCTGCTGAGATGTTTATGTTGTCCATGCTCTACCTGTAGGCTTCTGAAACTGATGAGGAAAACCATCAGCATCGACCACAGAAAAGAAAGAAGAGAGATAATTCAGGGTCAGGATCTGACATCTCATCATCACTTGATTCAGGTACATCCTGTCTTATTAAGGGCATTTACATAGGTATTGTTTTAATACTACAATCACAATCAGATGGGGGGGTGGTATCTCTATCCCAAAGATGGGTTTTAATGGTATAAAAAGGCTGCAGGACTGGTGGGAAAACAGGTTGTGCATGGTGGTAAACAATTAATGTTTATATCCCTTATAGAAATTACCTTCATCCTTATATACAGTCAGGTCCATAAATATTGGGACATTGACACAATTCTAACATTTTTGGCTCTATACACCACCACAATGGATTTGAAATGAAACGAACAAGATGTGCTTTAACTGCAGACTGTCAGCTTTAATTTGAGGGTATTTACATCCAAATCAGGTGAACGGTGTAGGAATTACAACCGTTTGCATATGTGCCTCCCACTTGTTAAGGGACCAAAAGTAATGGGACAATTGGCTTCTCAGCTGTTCCATGGCCAGGTGTGTGTTATTCCCTCATTATCCCAATTACAATGAGCAGATAAAAGGTCCAGAGTTCATTTCAAGTGTATTTGGAATCTGTTGCTGTCAACTCTCAAGATGAGATCCAAAGAGCTGTCACTATCAGTGAAGCAAGCCATCATTAGGCTGAAAAAACAAAACAAACCCATCAGAGAGATAGCAAAAACATTAAACGTGGCCAAAACAACTGTTTGGAACATTCTTAAAAAGGAACGCACCGGTGAGCTCAGCAACACCAAAAGACCCGGAAGACCACGGAAAACAACTGTGGTGGATGACCGAAGAATTCTTTCCCTGGTGAAGAAAACACCCTTCACAACAGTTGGCCAGATCAAGAACACTCTCCAGGAGGTAGGTGTATGTGTGTCAAAGTCAACAATCGAGAAGACTTCACCAGAGTGAATACAGAGGGTTCACCAGAAGATGTAAACCATTGGTGAGCCTCAAAAACAGGAAGTCCAGATTAGAGTTTGCCAAACGACATCTAAAAAAGCCTTCACAGTTCTGGAACAACATGCTATGGACAGATGAGACCAAGATCAACTTGTACCAGAGTGATGGGAAGAGAAGAGTATGGAGAAGGAAAGGAACTGCTCATGATCCTAAGCATACCACCTCATCAGTGAAGCATGGTGGTGGTAGTGTCATGGCATGGGCATGTATGGCTGCCAATGAAGCTGGTTCTCTTGTATTTATTGATGATGTGACTGCTGACAAAAGCAGCAGGATGAATTGTGAAGTGTTTCGGGCAATATTATCTGCTCATATTCAGCCAAATGCTTCAGAACTCATTGGACGCCGCTTCACAGTGCAGATGGACAATGACCCAAAGCATACTGCAAAAGCAACCAAAGAGTTTTTTAAGGGAAAGAAGTGGAATGTTATGCAATGGCCAAGTCAATCACCTGACCTGAATCCGATTGAGCATGCATTTCCCTTGCTGAAGACAAAACTGAAGGGAAAATGCCCCAAGAACAAGCAGGAACTGAAGACAGTTGCAGTAGAGGCCTGGCAGAACATCACCAGGGATGAAACCCAGCGTCTGTTGATGTCTATGCGTTCCAGACTTCAGGCTGTAATTGACTGCAAAGGATATGCAACCAAGTATTACAAAGTAAAAGTTTGATTTATGAATATTATTCTGTCCCATTACTTTTGGTCCCTTAACAAATGGGAGGCACATATGCAAACTGTTGTAATTCCTACACCGTTCACCTGATTTGGATGTAAATACCCTCAAATTAAAGCTGACAGTCTGCAGTTAAAGCACATCTTGTTCGTTTCATTTCAAATCCATTGTGGTGGTGTATAGAGAAAAAATTTTTAGAATTGTGTCGATGTCCCAATATTTATGGACCTGACTGTATAACAGCCAGAGATAACAGAGTAAGACGCACATAAAGAAATAGGACTTTCACAGGTACCAGTGTCAAAATAAATACTGTCATCAGATCCATGATGTTTATTCCAATATGACTAAAATTATTTTTTGTCTTTTTTTTTTTTTTTATAAAACATATAGGGCTTGTACATGTATCCATTTTATTACAATATCTTCAATAAGCTTAAATATCCAACCTGCAGCCATGTATTGGGTCAGTGATGTTTTGGGTAGGAAAACCACTGTCAGAAAGATAACTCCAGGGCCTGCACCTATTAAAACCAAGTCAATACTTTTTTTTCATTTTCTTCTTATATTCCTCTTGCGTTTTCTTTTAATTTGAATTAGAAATATCAGGACCTCCATTAAGATTGTACCTTCACTTCCCGTTCCAGTAAAAGTGGCCTCCTGAACATATAGCAAGGGAATATTACCCCAGTAGAGACAGGGGCAACACTTATCAGTTTTTTTGTTATTGTCTAACCAAAAGTGAGCTGAGATCTGGTATAAATCATAAGGTATGCAAATACAAACCATGAGCAGCCCAGGTACATTCCCCAATACCATCTCACGTCTGGGAACAGGGAATGTCATGTGGAAGTATGAGTGGTAGGAAGCCTTGTAAGATTGCTGATCCAAGGGATGCTGTTGCATTCTTACTCATCTCACTTGTGTTTTCTCAGAACATAGCACAAAGAAATCTAAGAGACAGAAGAAGAAGAGCAAGAAGAAAAGGCACAAATCAGTGAGCCTGCTGACATAGGGGGAAGATGGGTGTACGGTTTTGTGTGGGAGAAGGGATCAAAAAAGAATTGCATTTACTTTTTTTTAGAACAGTCCCGAAAGTGAATCAGAAAAGGAGAAGGAAAAAAACAAGAGAGAAAGAGATCAGGAAGATGAGCAACTGAAAGAGAGAGCAAAAGACAGAGACCAAGATCTGGAAGTGGAGACTGCAGATGGTCACCGTAGGTCACTAAAGCAAGCCACAAGAAAGGAGAAAGTAAGTGAGTGATTCTGTACAGATCCAAGTATGCACAGCTTAACCTAAATAGGAGTTGGTTCATTTTGGATGATCATATATAACAGCATAAAGAATGAGAGAAGTGTCAGGGTATATTGGCATAGGCAGTTTGTTTAGTGCGAATGGCAGTGACAGGGATCTGCCAATTCCTACTACTGTTTTTGACACCTGTGATCAGCTAGCTACGTTGCAGAGCCACTACACGTTGATGTAGAAAGTGACAGATAATCAGCGGTCACTATTAAAACAAAATACCATAAAAACTATCTGTGACATTTAAACCTAATATACACAAATCACAAGAAAATCAACGTGCTCACAAATCTGTGAATTCTTAGTTGCTGCCCAGCACTGTTGGGTGTTTTCATTCCAGCCCTCTAAGATATGACACAAATAATGATGCAGTACAACTAAAACAGTGTCTCTTAAATAAGTCCCAAATTATGAAAAAAAAAGTTGATTCCTGTGATTTTTACTGGGAGCCAGTTGGAGTATAGCCATAGAGGGGCAAAAGTGCGTTTGACCTTGGTTATTTATTAAAGTTCAATCCAGGAGGTGTGCACATATGGTTCACTGGGTGATGCATGTGACACGTGGGTGATTTGTTGAAGAGAAGACTGATATCTAGAATTTGTTGGTGGTTGGCCACTCATACATATTCAAGGGCTTTTGTGGATTAAGTTTCTACTCAGACTGAATTGTCTGCCTCTGAGGATCAGGTCTTCCGATTCTGGTGCTAGCAAAGACTGCGATATCTAGAATTCACTGGTGGTTGGCCACACATGCATATTCTGTTTCATCATTTGGGACTTATTTATTTATGAGACTCTGTTTTAGTTGCGCTGCATTATTATTTGTGTCATACCCTACACGTTAATTACTGGTTGCTGACGGTCACAATTATTCATGGCTATAGGAAGGGAATAGCAGGACAGCACACACAGAATGGTCAAAATAGTGTCAGTTTTTGGTGATGCATTGAAATGAGTCTTCCAAGTAGCATTAAGAAAAGTCTTTGGAATGTCAAAAATAAACCCAAGTGAACCTTGTGCTCATGAAAATATCTGGTATCTTTGTCAGAGTACATCTGACCTATTTGTGTGAGTCCATTTCACACGCCCACTCCAAAAGCAGAAAGGGAGGGGCTTGTATATGGCGTAAATGGAAACTAGATAGTGTCAGAGTAGACTTCTGCTAATCTATTTGTAAAAGCCAGGGGTCATAGAGAGAAGAGTAATTTGTTTATCCTAATTGTACAGTACAGCAGGCGCTGATTCGAATGCCCATGAGTTATATGCTACTACCTTCAGGTGATTGGAAACTGCCAAAAGCATTGGGTGGGTTTCTTGGATCAACAGTTGATAACAAATAAATACTACATGGTCAGACCTATCTCCCTCAAAAGGTAGGGTTTCAAGTCCTGTGGTGGGTGTACAGAGCTCAGATAATGGATCTACTCTTGACATTATCATCACCACCTGCAAAGTTGGGGGTGATAATCCTGATAAACCCTTAGGGAGGCCTTCATTGACATGAAGGTGCGCCCCCACTCTTCCAAATAGGAAGACATTTGTAACCCTTTGTAGACTGTTGACTAGATTGCTCTTCAGACATTCATGTGCAGGGAGTGCTCTTTCAGGTTTACAGACCATTCCCTTGCCACTAACTTCCCACCCCCTGCCTTCCTGTGGCACCGCACAGACTAGCAGACCTATCTTTGTTCCCTTGAGGTCTCCTGGACCTAAAAATCCCTTTCTTAGTTCCAGTGCTAGTTTGGTTTCAGGAGCTGTATCCCAACCTGGTCACTGTTTCCTTTGGGACTTGTAATGCCATCAGTTGTGCTTGGTATCCATCAGATCCATCTTCCCTTTCCCTCCCAAGAAGGACCCTCTGGCCCGTGCAGGCATGTACAATTTAGCTGATCACTGCCCATCGAGAGCTCGGACACCTCAGTCTCACTCATGTACCCCAAGTGCTCTCCAGGATGTTGGCTCCAGTGTTTGCCCCAATGCCTTCTCATGGCACCCCTATTGGGGACCATTGGGAGACTTAGATGTCCTTCTTTGGGGGAAAATAATTACTGTGGATTCTAGAGGTCAGTATGTTCCTGATGGTCCCAATGCCTCCAAGATTCGTCTGGATCTTGTTTCACCAGGAATCTGTACTGGAAACCTGGAGACAGTTCTACCTAATATGGTTCAGTAGAAGGCTCCCAAGCATGTTTGCCCTCATGTCCCTTTCCTTTGGTCAGTGAGTTACCAGCTTCTCAACTGTTGCAGGAGAGTTCTGTGTGGAGACATCACCCTCTCTAAGGCACCCTCTGTTCTGTAGGCTCTAACTTAGCCCTTCCATTTGCGGTTGTGGATTAAGTTTCTACTCAGACTGAATTGTCTGCCTCTGAGGATCAGGTTGTCTGATTCTGGCACTGGTAAAGACTTCTTTCCCTCCTGTCATTGGAGCACACTAATCTCTTGGGCTACATTCTGGACTTGAAGAACAGGTGCTTCCTCCAACATTGCAGGATCATTTTCTGGTCAGGTCCCCGGACACTGCTGGAGAATGTCAAGGCGCTGACACAGCTTTCCCATTAAGAAGGTATAAAAGTTTTTGCTATAAGAAATAGTGTGGATGCTTACTTGAATGAAATCTTCTTCTAGTCCGGTCCACTCCACTCCCTTAAAATGCCTCTAGGAGGTCAGTATTTCACAGCTGGTTGCGTCTGAACATGCGAGAGTAGTCCATACCTCAAGGTGCGTTTCAGATCCTACGCTGCAGGTGGAGTTTGTCAGAGAAGGACCCCATGCTACTTTTGGGTTATTTTAGGCAGCAATACATCCATATAGCCATATTGAGTATATAAAACATTCTTTAGTTTATTAGAAGTAGGGTAAAATACATCCTTATGAATAAAAAAACATGTACAAATACAAAGGGAAGTAGGTGATCATATGTTGAACAATAATGTACAGACAATTGTAAATAGTGTTGGAACCTATGACATGTATTTGAAGGCAACACTTGACCCGATTCAAGATGTACAGATCTCTTCTATAGGGGTAACCACATTCAGGTTCAAAGTGTTTATTCTGCAATGTGAAATAATAATTATCAACCAACATACAGCGCCTTGAAAAAGTATTCATACTTCTTGAAATTTTCCACATTTTGTCATGTTACAACCAAAAACAAATATTGGTATATTTTATTGGGATTTTATGTGATAGACCAACACAAAGTGACACATAATTATGAAGTGGAAGGAAAATGATCAATGGTTTTAAAAATGTTTTACAAATAAATGTCTGAAAAGTGTGGGGTGTATTTGTATTCAGTTCTCCTGAGTCAATACTTTATAGAACCACCTTTAGCTGCAATTATAAATGTAATTACAGCTGCAAGTCTTTATGAATATCCTTTGATCTAAACCATTCCATTGTAGCTCTGGCTGTATGTTTAGGGTTGTTGTCCTGCTGGAAGGTGAACCTCTGCTCCACTGTCAAGTCTTTTGCATACTCTAACAGGTTTTCTTCTAAGATTGCCCTGTATTTGGCTCCATCCATCTTCCCATCCACTCTAACCAGCTTCCCTGTCCCTGCTGAAGAAAAGCATCCCCAAAACATGATTCTGCCACCACGTTTCATCACTGGGGGGATGGTGTGTTCAGGATGATGTGCAGCGTTAGTTTTCCGCTACACATAGCACTTTGCTTTTAGGTCTCATCTGACCAGAGCACCTTCTTCCACGTTTGCTGTGTCCTCCACATGGCTTCTCACAAACTGCAAACAGGACTTCTTATGGCTTTCATTCAACAATGGCTTTCTTCTTGCCACTCTTCCATAAAGGCCAGATTTGTGGAGTGCACAACTAATAGTTGTCCTGTGGACAGATTCTCCCACCTGAGCTGTGGATCTCTGCAGCTCCTCCAAAGTTACCGTGGGCCTCTTGGCTGCTTCTCTGATTAATGCTCTCCTTGCCCGGCCTGTCAGTTTAGGTGGATGGCCATGTCTTGATAGGTTTACATACAGTTGTGTTCAAAATAATAGCAGTCAGACATCACTAACCTGATCAATCACTGTTTTTGGTAGAAATATTTCTACATGGCAAATAATTTACTAGCAGGTGTAGTAGAGTAATAGAAATCCAACAGACCCAACAGTCATGACATGCCTGCTGCTGATTCTGTGTAATTGAATCACTAATTGAAAGGGGCATGTTCAAAATAATAGCAGTGTGGAGTTCTATTAGTGAGATCATTCATTCTTTGAAAAGCAGGTGGCAATTATTGACCTTATTTAAGGAAGGAAGGCAGCAAATGTTGTACATGCTGGTTACAGTGCATTTCTTTCTGAAATTCTGAGGAAAATGGGTCGTTCCAGACATTGTTCAGAAGAACAGCGTACCTTGATTAAAAAGTTGATTGGAGAGGGGAAAACATATAAAGAAGTGCAGAAAATGATAGGCTGCTCAGCTAAAATGATCGCAAATGCTTTAAAATGGCAACCAAAACCTGAAAGACGTGGAAGAAAGCAAAAAACTACCATTCGAATGGATAGAAGTATAGCCAAAATGGCAAGGACTCCGCCAACAATCAGCTCCAGGAAGATCAAAGAAGGTCTAAAGTTACCTATGAGTATTGTTACAATTAAAAGACGCCTATGTGAAGCCAAGCTATCTGCAAGAAGCCCCCGCAAAGTCCCACTGTTGAAAAAAAGATGTGCTGAAGAGGTTACAATTTGCCAAAGAGCACATTGACTGGCCTAAAGAGAAATGGCGCAACATTTTGTGAACTGATGAAAGTAAGATTGTTCTTTTTGGGTCTAGTGGCCGGAGACAGTTTGGCACACGACCCCCAAACACTGAATTCAAGCCACCGTACACTGTGAAGACAGTGAAGCATGGTTGCGCAAGCATCATCATATGGGGATGTTTCTCATACTATGGTGTTGGGCCTATTTATCGCATACCAGGGATCATGGATC